AGTTGTTTGGAAAAAAAAAAAAAAAAAAAAAAAAGAAAAATAGTGTTTGTCTGTTGACTTTTTGGATCATTTAATGATCATGGCTTGAATTATGAGGTTTTCATTTAATAAATGATAATGTTGGTTGAATAATACCTATAACCGTCCATTTGACTTCATTTTTTAATATAATTTTAGTGTTCATTTAAGGAATGGGTGACCCGAAAAATAAGTTATAAATTGTTTGAAAAACAGTTTTTATAACTGATTTAAATTTGTATTTACTACCTATATTTATTTAATTTGATAATTATTATTTTTTAAGATATATATTGAAATTAAATTGTAAAATTTAATTAAATGAGTGAAAATGAATAAATAATTATTTTACCAATTAAAATTTAAATAATTTATTTCTTTATTTTTAACCAAAAAAACCTTGAAAATGGTTGGGACATATGGGATTTATCAAAAATCATAAGATATTAGAATATAAAACAATAAATTTATCTCTAAAAACAGGGTGTCCTAACCATCCACCAGCTATTCCATCCCCGTTGTCCATGGAACCCGCTCTGAATAATCCACCTTTTGCAGGATTATTCCCGATGTATTCATAAAAAGCTAATTTTTTAGGAAGTTTAGACCAAGCTTCTGATAAACTTTAATTTTCGGCTAGCCCGACACTAACCCTTCTATATATTTCTTGCTGGAAGTATCCCTGATCCCATTGATAATGAGTGGGACCAAATAATTCAATCGGGGTAGTTGCTGAACCATACCACATAGTTCCAGCAACAACAAAAGCTGCAAAAAAGACAGCAACGATACTACTCGAAAGGACGGTTTCAATATTTCTCATATGTAATCCTTTGTATAGACGTTGGGGAGGACGAACACTAAGATGGAATAGGCCCACTAATATGCCCAATGTACCTGCTGCAATATGATGAGAGGCTATCATGCCTGGAACAAAAGGATCAAACCCTTCAACACCCCACGCAGGATTTACAGCTTGTACCCTTCCGGTTAATCCATAAGGATCGGATACCCATATTCCCAGACCATACAATCCGGTTACATGAATTTTCTTTATTTCCATCCGGAGGGTAAGAAGTTTCATAAACAGGTCTTTTTATCTTTATCTTTTGATAGCGTGTCCTTTTAAAGTGGAATTCATCCTTTGTTTTTTCCTTTCCATTCACTCGGATTTCTTCCGTTTCATCGATTTTGTCCGGATCCTCCTTTTCTTCCGAAAAAAGGGAAGGAGAAGTATCTTCTTCGGTGGATCCCTCTTGTTCCTGTTTAGTCCCCTCCGTTTCTTTCAGTTTCTTAATGGATGACGGTATTCTGCCTAAATAGTAGACACAGGTAATAAATAAGAGAATACTAAAGATTCGAGCCATAGAATTTCTGAATTATGACACAAGGTACTTATTAGATCTAATAGAATTATTTTGTTTTATCGAGACTAAGCATCCTAACATACTTATATATCAACCAACAACCAACAATTATATAATTTATATCACTAATTATTTAAAAAAAAAAAAAAACAATTCAACAAAGTTAAATTAGGTCGGTTGAAGAAAACGAGTTTAGAAAGTGCTACCGACCTTATGTAAACAAAAACGAATTTAGAAAGTGTTACCAACCATGCTAGAACTCGTTGATCTAATCCAAGCTCGCATCTCAATTTAAAATTTTAATAAAATATAATTTTAAACGAGAATAATTTGTGAGTGAAAACTCTATTTAATTTTTTAATTTTTTTTAACCAATCTATTTAATTTTAATTTATTATTATTATTAGGTTATTTTTACTGTATGTGAAAAGTAATTAATAATTATTACCCACGTAGGTAAATTCCATAGGTTCATAATGGGAATCATATTCCCAGTTTTTAAAAATCCCAAAAGTGGGAAAAACAGTGGATTTAATCCTAAAAAAGAAGGATTTTCCAATAAAATTCATTATTTTTTTTGGTAATTTTCTTATTTTTAGATTATTTAGTGGAACAAAATAATCCACTCAAAGATTAAAAAAATAAATTATAATATTTTTAAACAATTTAATAATCAGAGATTGACAAAGATATCCTCAAAGATGGGTAAATATGTAATCAAAGTCCCATGCCAATCTTCAAGGGTCACTCCAACCCTATAACACTATAATTGTTATAGGTATTGGGTAGGATTAAATGCCCATGGACCCGCTCTACACACGTTGTCTCCCTTAGACCTATGTGAACGAATAGAGTTGAGCCGATGAGTGTTACTTGTTAGACGAACACGACTTTCCACAATCGTATGATATTGTCCACTTTGAGCATAGGCTCTCATGGCTTTGCTTTGGGATTCCCAGAGTATTCTTTGTTTATAAACTCATAATCATTCCCTAAATTAGCTGGACTTTCATCATCCAACACCTCCCCTCGAACAAAGCACGCCTCCTTTAGAGTTTTAGTCATTTTTTACTTCACTTATTGTGCATAATATGACAAATCGAGTTTAGGGCTTCGTACTAATCGAGTTTAGGCATAACAAGGACGTGGTAAGAAATCCTATAAGGTACGGAATCATATCCGAGTTTAGCTTGACACATTTCAATTAAAGCATTAGAGCAGGGCACAACGCTATCTTTCTTACAAGTCAACTTTGATGAGACAAATCTTAGTCAACTCATGTGACTTGTACTTGGCTCGAATAGATTAACCCAAATAATTGATCTACCACCTCACTATTGTCGGGTCAACTCAATGACATTACTTGTTACCTCAATTCGAAGCAAATATTTGATCGTGATAAATAATTATTTTATTTCTTGATATTTTAACGTCCTCTAAACTTTGCGTACATTATTTTAGTTCTTTAAAAGCTCATATTAAATTTAGCGGATCAAAATGAAATAAATAGAAACCGTGAGTATTTTGAATAGTCAAATTCCCACTTTTCATAAGAGAATAAGATACCGTATCTTACGCAATTTCGCTTTTTTTTTTTTGAAGGAATATTTATCAATATTTATTTATTATTCATAATTTCTTAATAATAAATTGAAATATGAAAGAATCTGAACCATTTTTTGTTAATAGAAAGCATCATCTACAAGACATTATCAACTTCGTCTCTAAAACTAAAACTAAAAGATTTGATATAAAATTAGAGGGTTCATTTGTTAAAATAAATAAATAAAAATATTATTTTAAAAAATTAATAAATACGATAAACGATAAATTATTATATTTTTTTTTACATTTGAAGTGCGTTTATTGGTAGGTAGGCAAAAGTCGTGGTCGGTGCTGAGATGATATCACATATGTACCACATCACATCTTATTTAAGCACGTTGTTAGGTCTTTTTCTTGATTTAACTTGTCATTTTCTCTGATAAAATACATAAAAATATTTATTTAAAAAAACTAATAGCGATTTTATTTTTATTTTTAAAATATTTTATTATAAATTCAAGAATATGTTTTTTTTTTTAATAAGAAAAAATGGTTAGAGAAAACAAAACTATTATTATTATCGAATTTAACTAATAAAAAAAATTATTGGGTCAAAGGGAAGACTTTGTGCTATAGTAATTAATTAATAAAGTAATAGGGGTAATGGGTGTGGGGTCACAATTAAAATTTTCTGTACACGTGGCGAATCCTCCAATATTCAATTTTATCCCTAAAATTCTTATGTTTGGCATTAGGTCTTTTCATTGAAAGAATCCATAAGATACTTTTAAATCTTTAATTTATTAGTTAACCTTCAAATATTTGGGTTAACATTCTAACCAACTTTTCCCTAACCAACCCAACTCAAGGTTATATTCTGTAAGCTGTCTTTTCCTTCCTTATATAATGTCTTTTTTTAAAATCTCTCTGCGTTTTCTAAAACTTTCTTTTAAAATCGAAACTAGAGGCTCGATCATACGTCGCTTGGCCGTAGACGACGTAAGAACAAATTGGCTCAGCTCACTTGTCGTTGGAAAGTGAGTGCCGCACAATCGCTAGTCCGCTGCCTTCAAAAGTGTGATTGTGTCAAGTGATTTATATGTCTATTTTAAGTCTGAAATTATCTATTTATAATAAATAAATTATAAAGAGATACTTATGATAAAATATTATATTAATACTAAATATCAAATAAATAATATAATTGAAATAATGGTACAAATTATGATGTTTAGCAATGAAAATATTCCAAATTTGTTTGCCATTTGAACCTCCCATTTAGTGCATTACAAATAGATTCCCAAAGTAATTTTATTTATTCATTTATTTTAAAAACTTTTTAAAATTTTAAGAACACTTTTAAATAAAAAAAATTAAAAAATTTGAAAATAATATATGATAAAATTTTCATAAAGGTAAAATAT